CCATGCCATAGAGGCTAAGGCAAATAAGGTAATACGGGGTTATATTCGCTCCTCTGGGAATAAGTCACGTAACGTGTCAGGCGGGGTGTGAGCGCCAGGGCTTCAGAGTGGACCGTGACCAGTCTCTACTCCCAGCCAGTCTGCAGTCTGGTCGAGGAGGCCAAAGGTCAGCAATAACCACCATCCAGGGAGACAGGCGCTGTGTCCTGGTGGTGTGCGGTACGGGAAGGGGCAGGGGGAAGGCAGGGGTCCTGGGCGTGCCCTTTCTGCACACCGCTGCCCGAAAATTCACCTACAGCTTCCTCTCCCGAGGCAAAGCGGAAGGGGCAAGACACACTTATGAGCATCTCACAGCCTCCAGCTGGAGTCTATCTGATGAACCAACGTGCTGACCACGTTACGTAGATTGTCTAACTTAGTCCTCACAGCAATGCTGTGTGGTTTTACAGAGGCTGAGGCAATAGAAAGTAGGTTCTAGTCCAAGTCAACTTCAAGCTAGGCCCTATACACTCAATCCTTCACTGCAGAGCCCCGAAACTGGAGAAAGAACTGGGAGTCTGTTCCAGAGAAAGTCTAAAGTCCGTGACCCACAGAGGTAGCCCTGGTTAGGGCTACTGCGTGGCCACTGATTTCATGAGGACCGCCCCGTGTGGAGCAGGTTCCTGGCTGGAACACGAACAGTTGGTTAGTGTTCAATAACTCAATAATCAAGGGAGGAGGATAAAAATTGTTGCAAAGATCAGCAATAACTCCCTGCCGCTGGGTGTGCAACGGCTGCCACCAGCTCCGGGCAGCGATTCTGGGCGCTGGCCAGGACGTTAATTAAGCCCTAACCATGGAGGCCCGGGACTCCCTGGCAATGAATGGTGAGCTGGCAGCCTGTGAGACCTGAGGCCTAGTCAAGGTCATTTCCTTTAGCCAGGCTACTCCCTCGAACATGGTGCAAAGGTCACAGTGGACACCGGGGGCAGAACTGGAATAAAAATACGCAGTGTTGTCAAGTAAAAACTGTTATACTTACTAAGCTTTCTAGGTTATCTCTAGGGGACAAGAGTTTCCATATCAGCTTAATTGTTCAAAGGACTGCTTTCAACTTTTCCTTCTTTACCTGTACCAGACGTAGTGTAAAACCAATAAACATACGGAAAAATGCCCAATCTTAAATAAATTTCACAAGTAATAGCAGAGATGACTGTTCTGCCGTGTTACTGGCAATGATGAAAAAGATCACCAGGAACCGACCAAACGCACTGACAGAGAGGCTCTGGTGAGAAGGCCTTCTCATGCAGTAGCAGTGGCGTTGTACATTAGAAGAACTTTCTGGAAGGGAAAGTGAGAATGTCAACAAAATGTGAAAAGGTATGGGTACTTTGACCTACTAATTCTTCTAGAAATTTACCCCAAGGAAATAATTGGCAAGTGCTCTAAGGTTCACAAAAAAAAAAAAAAAAGTTCCTTGCGGGATTATTAATAATACCAAATATTTTAAAACCACCTAAATATCCACAAAAGGATGCTATCTGATAAATCATAGTATCACTAGGCAACAGAGTCCAGCGAGCCTGCTTAAAAGGACGGTGTGAGTCTGGAAGCCGCAATACGAAACTTTGTCCACGTCGTTCGGCTTTTACTAGAGGCTGCCCGTGAACTTGCACGTGGACTGGCTGTGCTCGAAACGCCAGCCCCGTGAACTTCCCTGAATTGTGTGCCTGCACAGTGGCTCTTTCCGGGTGGTGAGATTTCAGATGAGTCTTTTCTTCCTTTTTTGTTTATCTTCATTACCAGAGTTTTACAACGAACATGTAATATCTTTAAAAACAGAAACCCGAGACTGTTTTTGAAGATCAAAAGAAAACATCTCCAGGGCATGTAAATCTTCTGGGGAAAAAGCAGCGCTAAAGCCAGAATAAGGGCTGACGTTCGGAAGGAAAATGCTGAGGGCGGGAGGGAGGGACTTGAAAGCCTGACAACCTTGAACAAGAAGTCCTGTCCCAGGCCTGGGCTCCAGGGTCGGTCCTTGGGTACAAATGTCAGCTCTGTCACTTACTAGGTGAGCCACCTGCGGCAAATTACTTAACCTCCTGAGCCTCAGTCCTCTTATTTATAAAGAGAGGGTGACCGTCCTTGTTCCTACCATAGCTGCCAGAATTAGAGAAGAGAGTACCTGAAAAACAGCCCTCACAGTGCCTGGCACAATCAGTGTGCCCTAACACGAGAGCTTGTGGAAACCAGCTTCACACAATCATCATCTGAGTGAGTTCACTTTACCGGAACGGAGCACTAATGAACAGTTAGGGGGCGGGGAAAAGGAAGAGGACAATGCGGCAGAGGAATCCACAACGGCAGGCATGTAAACACCCGGGCTCTGCAGCCCAGGAGCAGTTGCTGCAGGGCCTCCGGACCAGCTGACGACTCATTCGCTTTGTAGAGGGATCCAGTTCTGCCAGGACCTGCCACTCACTGCCCCGCCTCACTGAGTTAGCTGGTCCCTGTCCAGGTAGCTGGGAGCAGGGAAAGCGGAAACTGCCACGCGCATTATCTGGTAGTTCCCGGAGAAAGAAGAAGACAGAGAAGACACGATGGGCACCCGACACAGCAGAGTGCAGAATGTTTGGAGAGTGAAGCGCACACGCTTGGGGAAGTCAGAGGTTCCAACCTTTGTGATCAGGCGGAGCACCAGAGATAGAACGTGGACGATTTTATCACATTCATTTTCCCTTAGAATCCTTTGTGCGACCCAGGCATGCTTCAAACTTGCCTCGCCCCAGCGTGATCCCCTGAACTTGAGGCAAACAGGTTCACTGTGCCATGTCAAGGTGAGGGGACAGTGCCCTGCACCTCTCTGGACCTGCGGGGGTCTTCAAACTCTTTTCCCAAATTGCTGATACCATCTGTCTGCACTCAGGGCAGATCCCAATGGGGAAAAGTCATGACCTCATAGCCAAGAACCCAGACTTGGGAATCGTGGGCACCTGGGGTCATATCCAAGTTCCTCCACTAAGTTCTCACTCTCTCTGAGCCTCAGTTTCCCCACCAGTCCAGTAAGAATCCGGCACCTGACAGGTCTGTAATAAGGCTTAAGTGACATAATGAAATTCTGAGAAGGCAGCAGGGTGTACAGGTGAAGTGCACGGGCTGTGGTGCCGGACTGTTTGAGCTCAGATCCCGACTCTCTCTCACTAGCTGTGTGTCCTTGGGCGCGTTACTTAACCTCTCTGGGCCTCAGTCTTTTCATCTGTAAAACAGAGATAATGGTAGTTTCCACATCTGTAGAGGAGGGAACGAATGAGCTCCAGCTCAGCAAGTGCTAGAACAGCCCCTGGCACATTAGTGAGCACTCAGTAAATGAGCTGTTACGATGAATGCACGCAAAGCCCTCAGTGTGGTAACAATACAAGTTCATTAAATGGTCACTGTTATTGTTACGAGGTACACGTTCCACAGAGAGTTTTGTGCTCATTCTTCTCCTGGAAAGCAATGAGAAAACGAAGACAGTGGGGAGGATCTTGTCCTCAGGTAACACGACAGTCCTGGGGAGGGAACTCACTGTCCTGTGGCCCGGGCGGGATACCCCGGGACCCCTGTGCCCAGGCTCCCCTTCGCTTCCAAAGGGCCCTCATCCAGCCACCCGCTCCATGAACAAATGCTCACTAAGCACCCCCAATGAGCCTAATGGATCACCCAAGAGAAGAATAAGGTGGCTTTGGCCCCTGCCACCCAGAGCTCACAGGGTAGTGGGGAGAGGTGCCACACACACGCACACACGCGCACATGCACACAAGTGATTACTTGAGGATGGGTGCAGCCAGTGCTGTGACATCTGTGATGAGAAGGGAATGGGGTCCCGACCTGTCCAGCCTGGAGGCGGGTGAGGGGGAGGAGGATGGAAAGGCTGGGACGTCGCCCACGAACAGGAGCCGGCTGGCGCTGCCTGGGAGTGAAGGAGGAAGCGATCCGGGCAGACAGGCAGTCAGTGCTGCGGCCACGTGGTGACTGTCTCACAGGTGAGCAGCAGGAAGGACAGTGGGACTGCCACGTCCCTAGACCCAGCAGCACTCGGCTGGGTGGTCGGAATTTGGAGAGAGGCCGAGGGCCTCGGGGACGGGCTCTCAGTGCCACTGTTGTCTCTTCCCTTTCAGACTGTCCTTGCCTGCCGGCGAAGACTGCCACATCTCCGACCCCAGAGCCCGGGGCCGAGGGCCGGCCGTTCTCAGCTCAGATTCCCAGAGGCCACAGCCGTGGACCACTCTGCCCACCCATGAACTGGAGCCGCACGTGAGCCACGACAGGGACACTGCCCTCTGCAGGCCTCCCGACGCCTGCAACCTGCCCTGGTCACCCCCCGCGGGGTTGTGCAAGGTTATTCAGGAGGATGAGTCTCCCTCGCTGAAGGAAAGGGGCGGAGGACCAAAGCAAACCATGGCTCCGAGAGAGGGCTCCGTGACGGACAGAGACGGGGATGTTCCCGTGGGGGCGTCGTGTGGCATCAGAGGAGCCAACCCCCAGGTCGCCGATTTCTCTGCCTGCTTACACGCCACGGAAAGGAGACGTGCTTAAGTTTCCTGTAGTTTTACCCTGGAAGTTGACGCTCCGGCAGAGGAAGCCGCCTGTTCTGGACGTGGCAGGATTCTTTAGGAATCCGCACACTGGGAGTCTGGCGCCACCCCTACGTGGTACCTCTGTTGTCTTTTTGTTTAAGACAGCAAGCTTTTCCCAGGATCAGAGCTGCCTGCCAGTCTCTCTTGATAAACAGCCCACCAGCTCTCTTGGTAGATTGGATGTTTAATAATTAGCCTAACTCATTGTTTATCAAAGTGGCAATTATCACTGCAATGAAATAATATTTTAACTGCAGGGGAATCCTTACGGACAGCTCCCAAGTAGACTCTACCGGCTGGGAATGGCCCACGCAGCTTCCAATACTCAGAGGAAAGGGCCACTCCATCTCGGCTGGCAGGTCCCGGTGTCTGAGATGCTCCCATCAGATGCTGCCCCAAAGACCTAAGGACATGTGCCCAGGAGAAGTATACGGTCTCAACCCTTCCCACTGAGGCCCAATGGCCCAGCAAAATATGAAAGTGCGGCCTGTGCTCCTGAAGCGGAACAGCCTGGAGTCGGTGGAGTTGGTGAAGCAGCCGCACCACCGCAGGAGCAAGTCTCAGCAGGTGCGCTTCAAGGACGATGGGGCCAGCAAGGCACCGCCTGGTCCCCCCGAGGTGGAGGCCTGCGCTTCTGAAGAGCCGGCTGTGATGGACAAGACTCCAGCGCCCAGACACCACCACCTCCCCGCCTACTCGCTCTCCTTCCCCAGGTCCCAGAAGGCAGGGGGCTCTCGGAACATCGCCATCCAAACCTCCCCCAGTCTCAGGAAGCATTTCCCAATTTTCAAAAGGAAGAGACTCACAGCCAGCAAGTCCCTGGTGGAAATGCCAACAGCGCCCCAAAGTGCCATCCAGGTCAACGGCAACCTCTCTGAACAGGACATTGTGTCTCCTGAGCTTGCCTACTTAAGGCTGGCTCAGCACCTTGAGGATGGGCCTCGGAGGGTCAAGGCACCCCACCCGTTCCTCCCCAGAACGGCCAAGGTGCAGAGCAATGGGCCTGTCGGCATATGCTTGGAAGCAGGGACTTGGAGGTCCTCGGAGAGCACCACCGCCGCCATTCAGGTCCCGGATGACATGTACCACAGTCCTTCCTGGGCAGCGAGGGAGCCCGCTTTCAGCCAAGGCAGGTCTGCAGAGATGAGCAACGCCATCCACCTGTCGGCGGACATGTACGCGGGCCACGGGAGAAGAGCGCTCCCATCTGATTCGGAAAGATCCCCCCCTTGCTCAAACGCCACCAGCGGTGCCAACCACACGCCAGGCACGGGGAAACTCAGACCTGAACTGCTTTTGCCCAAAGACAACGCTGGTGACGAAGACTTTGGCGCACTGTCATCTCTGCCGAAGGACACGCGGGTTCCCTCACCGCCACGGACTCGCAGCTCCCCCTCGCCAGGCCAGCCCACCCATGGCCGTCCAGCCCACCCTGGAGGGGGGTCAGACTGTCCTTCACCGAGTGACCATCACCAGGAGCTGCCGTCACTCAAACCCAAGGACACACCAAAATCCGCCCCTGCGTGTCGGGAGCAGAGGACGAGCGCCCCCGCCCCGTCGGACGCCCCAGAGCCCCGCTGCTGCCCGGGCAGTGACCGCCTCCCGTCCTCCCTTCCAAGGAGGGAGGCCAAACCGCAGAGCGACAGGGAGGCTGGGGGGGTGAATCAAATCCACCTGGCTCGGGGTGAACTCTGCGACCTCCAAGGCAGGCTGCAATCTGTGGAGGAATCTCTGCACTCGAACCAAGAGAAAATTAAAGTCCTTTTGAATGTAATTCAAGACCTGGAGAAAGCTCGGGCTCTCACAGAAGGGTAAGGCGCATTTTTTCAACACTGAAAGCGACTGGCGTAACTCGTTTGACAGGAGAGAAGCGGAGAGAGAGAGCACTGGTTTCCATTAGTAAGACGTCCCCCGAATGTCTGAGTTTCTGTTGCTTCCCCAAATCATAAGCAAAGTCCTCCCTTAAAAAATATTTTATTTATTCATTTTTAGAAAGAAGGGAAGGGAGGGAGAAAGAGAGAGAAACATGAATGTGTGGTTGCCTCCCACGCATCCCCAAATGGCACCTGGCCTGCAGCCCAGGCCTGTGCCCTGACTGGGGATCGAACCAGCAACCCTTTGGTTCACAGGCCTGTGCTCAATCCACTGAGCCACACCAGCCAGGGCCAATTTATTCCAACCTGGCTTTATTCAATTCTAGGTTCTGGTTGATTTCCACGGCTTTTTGTTTTTGTTTCCAAACATCTGCAGACTGCAGAAAGGGGGCATTGAAGCAGAGGGTCTGAAATGATTTTAAGATGGGGGCCAGGTGGTGCACGATGGGGAAATGATAGCAAACAGGTACTCCCCCGCCCCACCCTTGAAGCAAGCCACTGTTTTTGCCAAGCTCTTTGGCCATTTGTCTGTCTGTCTCACAGGACTCCAGGTGGCCACCGAGCCCCCTGCTGCCCTTGCCCTCCCCTAACCACCTTCCTGGCGTAGCCGGTCCATCACTGACCAACTCAGTGGGGGCTGAAATGAGATCACAGTTCTGCAAAGAAAAAAGAAGTCACAGAACGCTTGTCTGGGTGACTCAGCACAGCCTGGGAAGGGAAAGGCCGTTGTTTACGTGGGTGTGGAGTGTTTGTCCTGGAAAATGTGCTCCCAACAGCCTGAGAGGAAGGGGTGATGAAAGCTCACCAACAAAAGGTGGGAGAGGGAAGAGGAAATTAACTGGCATCTGCTGATGTGAATCAGCGTCAGCACTGCTGACACGAGCCAGCACTGGGGAGGCGCAGAGAGAGACACACCGAACTGAGGGGTCCGGGGTGTAACCACCTGCCTTCCGGTTGCTTGCAAAGTCCCTCAGTTTCCTTCTCTCTCTCTCTCCCTCTCTCTCTCTCTCTCTCTCTCTCTCTCTCTCTCTCTCTCTCTCTCTGTCTCGAGGGGGTAAGGAGATCTGACCCCAGCTACTGTTGTCAGAAGGAAAAAACCCTCAGATCTAAAAGCCCCCTGGACAAGTGAGGTCCTGTTCTCATGGGTTTCTTGTCTGTCACGGGCATGCAGCTTCAGAGCACGGCTCCCGGTGAGAGGGGCAAGGTGTAGGGCCTGTGTGTGTGCATCCCACGGGACTTGCATCCAACACACTCTCTGTCTTGCAGGCGCAACTTTTACCGAACTGGCCAAGACCTCAACAACTGCAGGACCTGCCAGAACACGGCGTGCATCATATACAGGTACCTGGCTGCCACGGAGGCCAGCTCTGCGGAGCGCGGAAGCGGCGGGTCCACGGGACACTCCCATACACTGTCTTAGATGCAGAAAGTTAAGAGACAAAGACAGGAGGCCTTTCAGTACCTCAGACTTAAACACCAAGGTGTTGAGCGGTAAAATGTTAACACCTGGCTCTGAGGCAGCCTGGCTTTGTTTCTTCACAATAAGGGCGATGAGCAAATCCTTTTGCTCATAGGAAAATGATCCCTACACTACTGAACACCAAGTTCGGGCACCTCACAAAGCTCTCTGTGCACGTGAGATTGCGTCTCATTTCACAATTGTACCTTGCCAGGTGGGTGTTACTGTCTTTAGGGAAGTTCAGCCACACGGCTCAGGTCACATGAAGCATTTTCAGAGAAGGGCCCAAGCTCAAGACTCAAGGTCAGACCTTTCTCACCCCAGACCTGGAGATGTTGGTTATTCCGCCCCAGCACCTCTTCCTCAGCAGTAGTGATCCCCTGCCAAGCACTTACTATGTGGTAAGGAACGTGCTAATAAGCACTTTGCATTCCTTTCTTAGTACCTCATTTCCTCCCACCAGGGGGTGAGGGTGCTACAATAAAGTGGACTTTTGTAAGTAATAGAAGGAAAACACCATGTAGTAATGAGAGCAGCGAAGCTGGACTCCCAGTCGCCCAGTCAGATATCTGCTGACATGTCTGTGGCTCAGTTTCCTCATCTGTAGAGTGGCAACACTTATCCCAGGTAACATACGTAGACGCTTTTGGTAACTGCAAAGCTCTGCACCCATCCACGGGCTTATTACTGTTATTACTAGAAAGATCAGTGCCCCCTTAGCTGGAAGCCCATTTCAGCAGCACGGTGGAAATGTGGTCAAAAGCAGTCATTTTGGTTGATGGCATCTAATTTTGACAAAAGTGTAGGGCTTTGCTTTCTCTATTACATTTCTCTCTCAGATGGAAAGGGCAGCCTGATGGGCTTGTCTGTCTTCTTTTAAATTTGTCTTCTCTCTCCAGCAGAATCGGAGACTTCCTCCCAACAAGGGAGGGGGTGGTGCTGGAGGTTAGAAGCCCCCCCCCCCCACTCTGGCAGGGCCTGGGGCATTTTTTCATTGAAATGTCAATTCCTTACACCTAGCAGTTACCATGGAACTACAGACTTTTACCAAATGACAGAAGCTTCAGGACTCAGCACAGAAATGCTCTTTACCTCAATGTAAAATAAAAAAAAAAATCCCCTAAAAAAGAAGAAGAAGAAGAAGAAAAAAAAAAACCTGGGAAAGGCTTATGACATTGGAAAGTATAAGTAGCCAGTCTAGTTTCACCAATTGCTACATTTTTTGCTCCTTTTTTTACATCTCCTTTCTTAAGCAAATTTCCTAAGCTTCAGAAGGACAAAAATTATTAAATGTCTAGACAGCTAGGGAGAACAAAAAAACCATGCATTATAAACAATAATTATTTTTAACTACCCTCCATTTAAATTTTGGATAGTCTCCCTTCGTCATCAGCCAGATGATGTATTTTTCCATTACCTTAAGATGACTTTTTATTTAACTTATGTAAATGAGGAGGACAAGTGGTTACTTCGCAGGCTACTGTGAGTGCCATGGCCTGGCCTTGAGCAAATCATTTCTGGCCTCTGAGTTTCCTCATCTGAAAAATGAGGGCCTTTAATTACATGGTCCCTCCAGCCCCTCTCAGTTCTGACATCCTGGTGTTTCTATCTGAATTAAAGGCGGAAATATTTGGCTAAACTGTGACCTTCCCACCAGCCCGAGACTGTTTGCGTTTTCCTACTGGCTACTTCCAACACCCCAAGCAAACATCCGAAGTCAATGTGCACCCCTGGAAGGGTTACTAAACCTCACGCGCACACCCCTTTCCAGTGTTCCAGGAGGGGGGCCACTGTGTACATCCACTCCGCATTACCATGCAAAGCCAGGCTGTTCCTGCAGACAGCCTCTATAGCCTTGTATCTTCTAAGCCACTACGAAGGAACAGGCAATTAATTTGATGAAAGCAAAGAGATCAGAAAAACATCCCTATCATAGTAACGGTGGGAAGATGAGAGTTGTCCTTTTTCTTTCTTTCTTATTTTTAACATTTCAAATGACTTCAAACCCTTGTGTTGTGTCTTGGAGAGTCAGATCTTACAAACTAATGAATAAGTGATGTGAAATACTCGTCCTCGGGCCTTGCTGAGCCTCGGTCCCTCTCCGCGGTGATGGATGGGCCCGGAGCACATCACTATACATAAAGCATGTGGGCACGTGAAGAACTGCCTCCCAGCTCGTCTTCTCTGGAGCTGCTGCTGCTAAGTTAGCAACACATGAACTTTTCTAAGGAGCTACAGCTAATGCTACTTGCCTCCATCAAGGCATGTGGAGTCATCAGTTCTGCCCGAATCATGCTCTCTGCTCCCAAGTCTCCTTAGCTTTCTTCTTATTTCCATAGATCGCATCTGACCATGAGGCACAGCCCCACGCAGATGCCTAAGGATGCCATGCGTGGCTCTCAGGGGCTGGCCAGGGATTTCTTGCATGGAGGCAAATGGACTCAACTTTGAGTTTTGACTGCCATGAACTCGGTGGGGGGGGGGGGCAGGAGCAGAAATTGGTTCTATGCCTCAAGCTGGTTCCAAGCTGCTCAGTGCCCAGTCATACTCCCCATTGATCCTTAGCGTTGATTCTAGGACAAGTTTCTCAAAGGCTTGGATGAGAGCTGCCTGTGGTACCAAAGATGAAATAATATTGAATTACTGAGTGTGAAGGCTGTTCTCTTTCCAAAGCTATTTCAATCCTTGTGGTTACCTGGAGGGGAGAATCAGAGTTTGGTGCCAGAATGTCTTAGAAACTTCCTGAAGACTGGTCTGCTCTGCCAGAAGAGAGCAGGTCTCAGGTTCACAGCCACGGGCAAGCAGCAGCCATCCAGCCAGAACGCGATCATTCTGAATTATGTTTACTGCAGCTTTTAACTTTTCAAATGAGTCCCCCTGAATATTCATTGTAAGGGATACAGATCTTTATCTTCAACAGGGATATTGCCTAGTTTATAAAAATATTTGCATGAATGTTTTTAAGTATAAAAAGAACAATGATTTAGAGAGAAATAACGTGAAGTAAATAACTGGTGTGGGGAGTTTCACAAAAACCGAGGGGACGAGGAACGAATGACTGAAGCTTGGGGAGTGACCTCGTAAGGACTCAGCCCCCCCCCCCCCCCCCCCCCGCTTTTCTTCCCAAGCCCCATCCTTCCACCCTCCCCCTCCCCCACTGCAGTCTCCGTCCCTCCAACCGCATCTCCCTGCCCTTCATCTTCCAGTTCACTCTACAAATCATCACTGAGCTTCTTTCAAAGAACTTTGTCTCCACCAATCATGCATTTGTTTTCTGCATGTGTCTCCTGGGGGGGGGGGTCTGCTTGGTTTAAGTTGTAAAATCCATCAGATGTTTTAAGGGAAGAGAACAAGGTCTTTCTCAGAACAACTCTGCACCTGCCACCCCAGCGTGTCGCTTAGGAAATGGAAATAAAGAGCACGCTGCAAACGTGGCGTTTGTCACGGGTGAAGGGGTGGTTGGCCACGGGGAACCTGAAAGGTGCCAGAGAGGAGAGAGACGGAAGGGCTGTTGTCGGGCTGGGGGTTCACTTGGACGGGCTGTCTCCTCTTCTCATTTTTAGCCTCTTTTTTTCGTGGTTTCAACAACACTCCTGGATTTTAAGTTCTGTCTTGTGACACTACGGTCTTCCCCCACCTCCTTCATCAGCACATTCTCTCTTAATCCTAACTACAGGGATATGTAAACTAGATATTTTCAACTTATTATCTCAAAGGCATCTCACTGCACCAGCTTTGATTTGGGGAACTTGTCCCAAGGCGTCTCTCTGGAACACAGGCCAAAGCCTCTGCCAGGGTGTGCCCTGCGGGAGAAAGCCAGGCCTTCTTCCAAGGAGCTGCAGGAGTCACCTGGGGTCACACAGTTGGTGGTGCGCGGGAGGCTTCATGAGTTTCTTTTTATGGTTAAGCTTTGGGATGCTGAGTCTTGGCCTCGCCTGCTCCTTAAAGCCATTGGCTAACTGGTGAACAAGGCTATTTCATTAGAAATGTAATAGGCACCCAGGCCCATTACATTTAGCAACCCCCAGTCTGCTTAAATTATTTAGTGTTTTCCTTCGGTCTGCTTAGGATGCCCTCCCAGCATGGAGCCAGGTGAGCTGGGAGGGAGCGCCGGCTCCTCTCCGGCCCCGGGTGAAGTCTGCAGTGAGAAGCACCTCCAGAGCAGGCGGCGCACCTGCTCTTTTCAGCAGGCACAGACGCCTTACCAGCTCTCCTCCCATTTCCGCGTGCACAGAGTGACACTTGCTTCCACTGCTGGATGGTGAGCATCACAGCAATGCCAACCAGCCTCCTCAGAACACTCGCCACCATGCGTGGCTCAGGCTTTCTCTTTAGGAAGCATCAAGTCTGGGGCACGCGTGGAAACGTCTCTGAGCCCGGCAGGGTGATCCCCAAGACATGTGTCTCTGGTGCCTGCTTCTCTCAGTCGTGCACGATCCCTTTCTTCTCCCCCAAAGGGGGAGAATTTACAGCATCAGCAATTTATCGGCAATAAAAATGAAACCCATTTTAATGCATTAATAGCTAAAGAGGCGGAAACATGCCATAAATTACAGAATCAAGCAAGCCGAGAACGTCCCGTGAGTAACGAGTGGGCGGCCGCTGGCACAGAGGCTACAGCTGACCACAGAACGACCCGCTCTTTACTTCTCTATCAAGTTAATGTAACGACCATGACCATTTGTCGTCCCAGGCACAGTGCCAGGCGTCTCGCTCATGTGGTACGTGCAGCATCTCATCTCCAGCTCCCAACGACTCTAACGTGTGAGTGTGGTTACTGTCCCCATTGCACAGATGAGGAAACTGAGACTCGGAGAGGTTATGGAACTTGTCCAAGATCCAAAAGAGCTGGGACTCACTCAGGTCCTGCTGTTGGGAGATT